CCCCCCCCCCCCCCCCTCCCCCCACTCTCCTTTCCATCCTCCCTTTTTGATAGACTAACCATGACAAACAATTAACGCCGATCAAAGAAACTATAAAAACAGCAGTAAAACTAAAATCCGTATCTGCCGCCAAAGATAGTGTTCTTTCAATCAGCGTTGCGAGCGACTGACTGATGAAGGCTTCTGATGCTACTCTAAGGTGGTCATAAAGCATCCAAAGGTTTTGAAGAGCAGCTTACCTTCCTTTCCCTCCAGCGTTCCTCTGATTTTGGAGTTGGGTGCACTTTCTTGGTGTTTACATAACTTCAAATGCTTGGTCAGAGTGAAGGCTAATTTCAGTTTTTTATAGCTGACATGCAGCTTGAAAGGTATCATTTTCCAATACAAGTTCAAGTCAAAGGTAATATTTACAGATATTTCTCTGTTACATTTCTTTCATCAGAAAAGTGGAGACGAACAAGTGCTGGGTCCTCGATTATGCGGCAGTAAACCTACCTCATTCTTTTCTGGTACTCGACTGACACATTCGAGTTTTTTCTTCTTCATGAATTGAAACATCGCCTTCACAGCAGCTTCATATGTCGGGGCAGCTCGATCGACTCGCCGGAACCCATGATTTGGTATCCTTCCATAACCATAGACAACGTGCAACGTCCTGAAGTCACAGTCAAAAAAAGGCGTCTCGAAAGAAAACTTGCAGAGAGCTTTTGTATCTAGTTGAAGTTCAGAAAGAATGAGGGGCTTATAAGGGTCCAACTCCTACAGTGTTCACTTTGAAATTAAACCATAACCACAAGATAAATGACTTACTTTCAAACATAAGCATCGACAACTCCCTTCTGATTTACTGTAAGTTGTTTACCGAAAATTATTGTAAGTCTATGGGCTTTCCATTCAATCAATAGTCGATGTTTAGGGACCAGCTCTCTCAGCTTCCGCAGAGATGTTCCATATGTGCTCCGATATAACGCGCTGATCAAAGGTTGCCTCGCGAGCAGGTATAAAACCCACGATCGTATCGGAAGGGGTTCCCTGCTTCCCAGGTGTTGTACCGTAGCGCTCTGCTCTGTTCGGGGCGATATCCGCTGATCGTCAGACCAGTTGACCCACCGGCTCTTCGCCATTACCGGCACACGTCTGCCGGGGATCCTACTCATGCTGTGTATTAGTTAAGACCTGCTATACCTGGTGGACCTATCATGACTAGTGAAGGGAAGACGGAGAGTTCAGACTTCACTGCTCAATAAATCAACCAACTTTGAATTATGGAAGGAATTCATTTCCGAATCATATGGATTATTATTCAGAAGAATAATTAGACTTCTCAAGAGAATGTTTATAAGAGGGATTAAATTTGAACAAAAACTGTTTTTGCTGGAGCCAATCATGATCCTTCCGATTTTAAAGGAACTCTGAAGTCTATACTTTCCAGAGTACAACTTCTCCGACTTTGGCGTTAATGTACATATTACCCCTCGAAAGGTGGCTAGACCGAAATTCGAAACTAAAACTGATGGTCATAGTGCCTGCAAAAGAAGTGAATAAAATAAACATGGAAACTTCCTTAGATTATTTGTTCATAATATGTAGTAGTTGGGTACTGATTTCTGTAAGCGAAAAAATTCCAGTTCAAATTCAAATATCAGTCGAAGAACCTTTAGAGAAAAATTTAGCGAAGAATACATTCAAGCGAAACTACTAATTTCCATTTTCTTGAAATGCATAAATATTTTTCCAAAGAGTAATATATATGATTTGCAAATGAGGTATTCAACCCTTGAAATCAAACGCCTGCTAGTGCTAGGCCAAAATTGTCGGACAATTCAGTTCCAGTTGTGAGTTGCAAGGAGGTTTTGCCCTAGAAACGAGATCAGCAATGTTGCCGAGAGTTTCGCAGAGGAAGGTAATCCGAAGTGGGGTTGCGGTTCAAAGATGTCATAGCTGCTTCGTGGGACACAGCAAAACTTGAACTCTCAATAATAGGCAGTCTATATTTTCCCAGCCCGTTCTATGGTAAAGCGTTACATTTATGGAAAGAAATGGGTTATTTGCAGAAAAGTGAATAAACTCAGAAAAGTATTTACTCAAGAACAGGAGTCAACTTTTGAGTCACAGTTCAACGAATTGGACATCCAAAGGGTCCATCGATAAAGAACGCTTCAGGGCGATTTTACCAACAAGTTTATGTCTTTGAATTCTCACATGAACCATAGTCCTACAGGAATGAAATTTTCAACACTTTTTGATTGGATGGGGGAAGGTATTGGATGACACCATCAAGTTGCGCAACAGAGTCGACTTTTACGGGTAGTAGAACTGTTTGTGTACGTATTCTATTTTGGTAATCTACTGCGCAATCTTCACGCTTAGCTGCTGCCAAGGTTCGTCTTGTTCGTCAAGTAAGCATGGCCCTAATATCCTGACAACCTGGAATCAGAATTAAATCGAAAANTGCCCGGCAACCCTGTTGACCTCGATCTGTGTGATTCAACTCGCTGCATCAAAAATGAGATTTTCTGAATACCATTCTCCCAAGATATTCGTAACCAACCCTTTCCTGAAATCCTGATTTGATCTTTTAACCTCTTGTGATTAACTGCTGCTTAACCGAGGGTGATTTTTTTTGTTTTTAGAATATAAACGTGACAATACTTATTGTTAGTCCATAAAAGACCCGGAAGGTCATTCCGCACATGGATTACTTTTCGTTTATTCTCCTTCGATCCCCAACTCGCTCTAATAAAGCAGCTGGTTGTAAATTGAGGACAGGAATTTCGGAAGTCGTACCTGTTTTCCATAACAACCATTAGGGCTTTCTTCAATATTTCCCTATTGACACAAGCAAAACAATTCTGTACGTCCGCCTTAGCAAAGAATAACCGCCCGGATTTATACGATGATGCACAACCTAAAACAGTGGAATTCATCTGTCAGCTAGCCCTTTACATTTCAGAACAATCATATAACAGGAGAACAGAAATCAAAGAATCACTCATTTTCTGAAAGCAGAGACTTTTCCATCAGCTGTTTTCGTAAACCATGGCATTTAAAAAATCTTCGAAGCCGTGTTATCTCGGACGACATGGCTGAAAGCATTTGTTTGTTTGGAAAGTCCATCTAGCGACTTCTCTCGCTTATATCAAGACCTTGTACTAAGACTAGTGAGAAACTGCTTTCACACTGCATTCCGATTTCCTAGTATATTTCAAAATGGAGTTGATCTCTAATAAACCCATTTCACTCTTCATAGCCTCTATCTGGCCTGTATCCTCCTACTTCTGTTGCCAGTTACGAAGGTTGCTTTTTATATTTCGGGATTAGAGAACAAAAATAAATATTGAACATTGAAATTCGCTTTACTGCCATTCAAAAATCTCCACATTGAATTCTATACACTTTTGCATGCTTTCGTACCAATTGTAGAAGCTCTTTTGCCACCTTGATTGAGATAACTCTAAAACATGCATTCTGAAAGCAGCAACGGCTTCTTTAGGCGTCGAAAAACGTTGATCTCTCATTTTTTTTTACGTCCGGGATGAGAAGAAGTCACCCGGGGACTACATGGCTGATGAACTGTCAAATCGTTGTTTTGACTGGTAAAAACTGCAGTTGTTTGAGCTCATGTGTGGGAGCTCGCATTGCCGGGGTGATGAGTGATCCGTCTTCGGCATTTGGTTTTCCTGATTTTTTGGAAGGCAACTGGCAAACAAATGGTTGTATACCNCTCAGAATTGACTGTTCTGCTTGTCCTAGTGGTACGATTGCGACATGTCCAGTTTTTCCAAAAAAACAGGAGACCAATCGCTTGGAAGTGCTTGGTGAGCGGACAGCTTTTGTTGGATATTGTTGGACATCTCGTACACGGATGTTTGTGATATTGCCGTTCCAGAACAGCTGTGCTCATCTAGATGACAGGCACAGTAGACCATGAGAGTGTCTACCAAAAGTTAAGAGAAAGGCGCTAGCGGGTAATAAGGTTTTATATGGCCTCTCTCGATTTTGAAGGTACAGTCAAAGCACACAGTTGTACATAGGGCCTAAGCTCCGTTCAGAATTTCCATGAATTCTGACAGCAGAGCTGTCACTCAGCTCTGCTCTCAAAGCATTCTCTCTTATCAAGAGGCACTTGTTGATCTCTTTGTTCCGACTACCATGGGCTACATTCACGAATGCAGCACTTGCGCACCTCACACTGGAATGCCGACAAAGCCACAAATTCTCTTAACGCCTTTTTCGTCCTTGCACACCCCAAGAACACGATTTCCGATAAATAAAAATTGGAGACAAGGTTGGTTAACCTCCATCTCATTTGGCTCCACCAATTTTCGAGAAATCCTCCAAGCTAGTCACTACTCCTGCTCATTCTCGTAGCCTCGTAGCTACTTCATATTAGCTTCCTACCGAGTGTACTGCTCAAAGTGTGTTCTACTGAGCATGAATGAATTATCGAAACCCTCACGATCGACACTCCATCAATTTCGGTATGATTATAATTCTGTACCTTCAGCATTTTTGATAGAGCCTCCGATGACAAGAAAAAGCCGATCTCAATGAAGATCGTGGTCTTGTGAACATCCTGAGCTCTATGTATGTCCACACAAAAACAGTGCTAATGAAGTTCTAACCAATCCTTGATGCTCAATCAAAAAACAATGAAAATATCAGAAACCAATTGCTTTTGAAGAAATGTGACAGCAGTCTTTGCTACCGTAAAGCTTAAGTCATCGAATTACACAAAAGAAGAATTGATTTGTTAACTGAAAGCCTTTACCTCCAGCCGACTTGAATCCAGACGCTTGAATGTAAGCATCAAGGCATGCTGCTAGTACTCTCATCTCTGTTTTGTATCTAGAACTTCCCTGAAATACGCAAGCATTGTATTCGTTCCTATAGAGTAACAAGAGACACTCGAAACATTCAGAAGAATGTCACAGAAGGTAGACGATCAAGCGTGAAACGATCACTTGCGCATCTTTTCTGTTGATTTGAAATAGGTGAAGTCCCGAATCACCGAACGACTATCGGATGGATTCCCCACCCTTGGTTTGATGAGAGGAACTATTGAGAACATGTGAAGACCTCCTGCTCTTTGATAATGTCTTTTTCTAGTGATTCTTACATATGCTTCGTTGTCAATGGTGTTTTCGCTGATTACTGTCTAATTGCTCTTTTAAAGATAAACAATTATCATATTATCCGAGGGTCACTGAGATCGTCGCGACCGCACATTCCAGTGGGCGCGCTCGCTTACTCGATGACCACTGCCGAGTATCTCCCGCGAGTGTGAACATGAGTTCTCTCTACGTATTTCCATGACAGAAGCTGTTAAAAGAAGAGCGTTCAGGAATTTTTCAACAATTAAGAGTTGAGCATTGTAGGCAACCTGCTCACTGTTTAGTGCTCCGTGAAAAGTCTGCTTCCCTGAATGGAAACGCCACGCTTTTTTGTGCATTTCTATTGCGCTCAACTTCATACTGAAATAGACTAATACTAGGCTAGAAGCTGGACACTAATGTCTACTCTGGATGGAAGTATGATTTCAATTCTATTATAGAATTGAAGGGCAACAAAGGACTCCTAGGGTACCCTTCTCAAAAAAACTTCAGTTGCTTAGATTGCAATGATACCCGGAACTTTAAGTTCAACCATGACTGAGGAATGGAGGTGGAATATCCAACATTATGCACTTCATTTTGAAGATGTATGAGGTACGACTACTTCTCCTAGTGGTGCCTAACCGATACCCGTGGATCTAGTTAAGTTCATTTTTCATCACTCCTAAGAAAGAGAGCTTAAGATAGCATGACAAACGGGATTAAACGTCAGAAGTACTTTACAAAAGAAAGGCCTTTCCCCTATGATTCCTGTCATAGCATAGTCTGAAGAAAACCTAAAATACATGCTGCTAAGCCATTACTATAACAACGCTTCTATTAGCAGCGCGTCTCCGAGTCCTGGAGTGATCAAAGCGGAGTTACAGTAAATAGAATGCCATGCGGATTTAACTCGGAAGTGATGACTGATAAGTGGTTCATGATGGTAATTTACCTTCTCATGAGTTACGAATTATGTTACCATTTCGACCTAATTTTCAGGTACTCAAAATTTTTGCATAAAAGGAGTAACAACGTTTTACCTGCAGTGTGCACATCAGTATAGGCCTACAAAGAGTTTTTCCAAGAACGTAGTACTGAAATAGGGCATTTCAATTAAGCAGAGTATTCGGTAAAAGGCGAGCACACTCAGAGAACAAACAGTAGCAAACGTACACTTGTGGCTTTTCTGTCCCGTTCAGCGAGTTCAACTGAGTAGTCTCTAATGAACTTGTTCTTTTCGACTCTTCTCCAGTGCTCAAAGCTCTTCTTGTCGTAGATTAGATAATCGGTATTATGCTTTTCCACATAGAAGTACGCGCATTCTCTGAATTCAACAGGACTGACTAAGATAAACGAAACTGGAAGGAATAGAATAGATGCTTTAGTATTTAGGTGCACCACCGAATCTCTGAAAATCTCGATCAGAAGCTGCTATACTCAGCACTGCGATGGGGCATTAACGGTTGTGAGGATAACAGGGGAACTGTATTGTTTCGTGGGTGGTAAAGAGGAATGGGGAGATGTACTGAGAAGAGAGAACACAGCGTAAACGAATGTGATTTCTACTAACCAGTATAGGGGGAACTCAGGATTTGCGGACGTATTTGTGACCTGGACTGGGGTTATTGTGTAGACCAAGAATGAATTCAAAAGACTGCTACTGTGATTGAGAAAACAATGTAAGACGCAACGTCCACGTGTCTCAGAATCACCTCCAGCAGTACCAATAGGTTTTTGAGTGCTCTTTGTGAACCATGTGAGGATGGTCAAGAGATCATCTTCGAGCAATCGTCTTTAACGAACGGCTCCCGTGCTGGCTATTCGTTCGGCTATCTCTGAAATCATCACTGCATCCACAGAGGAACTCGCCAACTATATGATCGTTTTTCGTTTTCTGCTTGCTTTCACTCTAAAGACGCAAAGCTTGAAGACGATCCTCTTCCAAACGATCAGTTGATATTAATGATGACCGACCGATGAGTTAGCAGAGCGCATCGAGTGCGATCAAAGCAACGCCCTTCGGCTTCGGCTACGTCTCTCCTCTTCGTTACCCTCAACTGGGAAGCGTTTCTACAGAATCTGGTGACCGGAGATGAAATTTGGGTTATCTGCGACAATTACAAGAAGGTCGCTGTCTGCCGCCTACAACAGCCTAAGTCAGAACAGCACCCGAAAGATTTTGCTGCTTCGGGGACTTGAAAGGGATCTTATATAATGGGTTACTGCCCTGTCACGGCTACCCTATAACATCCCTAATAGGAACTTTTTTATGCTATTGAAAAGAAAAGCGTACGAGAAAAGTTTTTTTGTGGATAGCGCTCAGTTTCACGTCGCACGGACCTCAGAGTCTCGGTACAGGAGATTGGCCCAAAAGTAAATACCTACTCTCTCTGTTCCCCTGATCTCGTCCCATCCAATTGTACCTTTTCAGATATCTCAAGCTTTCCGACGCGCTAAGTGTGTCTATTTCTTTATCGGTGTGTGTATGTGTGTATGTGTGTGTATGTGTGTGTGTCGGAGTTTACATTTGACAGGAAATTAATAACTCTGGTTCCACAGACTTAGAGCGCGGAAGTTTGATGGTAAAAATATGGGCGGCAGAATGGGAACACTGACGATGGGCGGTAGGAAGTGACTGAGCTGGACTCCAGCCGTAGGGGAGGTGAATGGAGGAGGAGAGCGAAGCGTCTGTGAAATGAGCATTATCCGAGTAAAAATTGAATAGGGCCTTCAAGGGCCAAGTTGGAATAAATGTGGATTTACTAAAACACAGGACCTGAGCAGGACTCCGCTGGTGATGGCCTCTTCTGGACATTCATTACAAAGATGTCGGAAACAAGAGATCAAAATAACAAACTGCATCTGGCATTTTCCCCGATGAGCAGAGGTGGTGCAAACGTAAATGGGTGCACACTACCACCAAGATAGATCCAAGATAGAATCCCGGATCTATGCACCCTAGGCCAACTGAGCCTTGAGTCCTTCAGATCGTTAATTGGAGTAAAACTCGTCTGGGAAAACAAAAGCACTTACATTTACATCTGGTTAGTTAGCAACTGCCATTCACTGTATATGCCACACAAGCGTTCAAAACCGTCACAACGATTCTGAATGGATGTCGAGTGCACGGGTGCATCTTTGTAACAAAGGGTAAAAAGTCGACAGTCTTGGTGCATCAATCAATCCCGTCTGCGTCTGCCATTCAGAATCGTAATGGTGTAATGAATGCGTATGTGGCATATACAATGACTTGCGGTGGCCAGCCGATGTAAAGTCGGTCTCCCGGACGAGTCTGGTTCCAATTAAACGACCCCGGAGGGATGGAAGGGTTGGTTGGCCTGGGCGCACATCGACCAGGGATTCGAACCCCTGTCCGTGCGAGATAGTGCGCCACTTGCCATTACACCACTTCCGCCCATCTCAGTATTAGTATAGATAATCGCTCAAGATCTCTATTCTTTAGCGTTTAATGCTGACTCTATCTTGCCAAGTTGGGAGACAATCCGTTCAATAGGAGGTAGTACTTACAGAAGTGTCTTCAGTAATAATCCAGTGAGAAACTCAGCAATCCTGATTAGCAGTTCGCGTTGAATTGAAGACACGTCTCGCAACAATCTCGTCCTTCGGGAGCGCAATGCTCGACAAGGGCCACCTTAATAATTGATATTTGTGAAAAAAAGGAAAGGTTTAGAAAAATTGTTCGACCGAAGAAAAAGCTTTCTTCTCACACTCAAGTACTCGTAAACGAGAAGTAGTGAGTCTCAATGCCGTAGTCGACTTCCAAGGAACAATCTTATCGAGTATGCTATTCAATAGCTCTCCAGAATTCTTCTCTCCGAGGAAACCGTCTGAGAATACGCGCAAAATTTCTTCAAAAAATTGACGTACTTGTTGTTTGTTGGCATATCCCTTCCTAAAACTCGCACAAGTTTGAATCAACCGCAAAAGGATACAATAACGATGCAAGCGAACCTCTTGAATGCATGCGGATTAGGAAGATTCTGAGGAAAACATTTCCTAAGTTTTTCGTAGACGTCGTTCTTATTGAGAACTTTCTGACTTTCTTCGATAGCATTTGTTATTTCCCCCTCAGCTTCAGTCTCTTGAAGTTCCTCGGCTAAGCCTCCCAGGACAACTCTTCTTATCGACTCCACGCTACCAGTTTGCATCTGACATAAAACTTTAAATTTTGACTAGGACATGGCGAGCATAAGCTCATATCGCTGTTCCCAGGTTTTGTGGGAATAGCTGCTGAAAAGAAGCCCTGATGTCAAAGGAAGCGTCATGGGGCTCTGAACTGTTAGGTGCCAATATGGAAACAGGTATAATGAAAAGAGAAAGCTCTGTAAGGACGTTTTTTTCTCTTCTTGATAACTGGACTTTCATCGCCTCTTTCCGCTACCCATTCACTTTGCAACGTCATTTCCTGAGCCTCTTGGCCACATTCTGCCGTAGCGGAAAGTGCCTTCAAAATAGAAACCTACCTCTTTCAAAGTAATGAAGTTCTCTCTGAGTGTGGCAGTAAGGCCGCTGATTCCAATCTGCTCACATCGAAGCATTTGGAAGGCAATTTTTACCTCGTCAGTACGCCTTGTGTGGATCCTTCACAAACAGAATAACGTAAAACAAAGAAAAGAAAACACACAAAAAGGGCATCTATATGTATAAATGACCTTCTCTCATTCATGTGGCATTGCTAACGATAATGATAAATGCGCAAGTTGTGGGTGAAGGACGAAATTAGAATGAGCCTATCCTCATTTACAGTGGATATATAGTGAGCTGATCTTTTTCTTCACGATCTCAACAGTATTTGAGAGTGGATATAAACAATGCCAATTAAACCCTTCGACCAACATTCCCCATAAGCATCGGGAACCGTGCACCCATGGTTGCTGACCTACTCCACGATAGTGAAAGGTTTCTTTCCACTACCTCCACCTCTACATGGACTTCACCTCTACATGGAAATTCAAACCTTTGCTTCTCACCATTAGTAACGAATGATACTCCCTCACAGTTATTGTAAGCGACATGGTGGAGAAGAGTGGAAGGAAGGGAACTATCATGTCGACCCTTCCAGGCAAACAGTTGCCACCTACTTATTAGTTAGGTAAAATAAAAAATGTAAAGTGAATAAAACAGGGAACTCAGAAGAATTTGAGTCGTTTTTGTGGCGGTTCTACAACCAAGAAAAACTTTAATTTTCTGGAGATTTTTTTGCAAAGCAATGAAAGACAAAAGCGTACGATTACTAGATACAGCTATTAGGTGTGTGCATTAATCTCCGCCGTTTTTTGCGTGCAAAAACATATTTATTACAAAATTAAAACTAAATATACATTGACCAATGTATTGCCCATTATTAGCAACAACTTCTTGCCATCTTTCTGGTATCTTGTTAACTTCGCGTCTAAAAAAGTCTTCATCTTTTGTTTGAGTTTTGTGGCAATCCAGTCATCCACCTATTTTCGCACTTCTTCGGCATTCCGGAAGCGTGTATCTGCCAAACTGACTTGCATGGACCGGATAGGTGGTAATCAGAAAGAGCAAGATCAGGAGAGTATGCGGATTGAACAAGCTGATCCCTTCCAACAACTGCAATTTTTTAAAGGACATTCTTCGCAACATGGGGTCTGGCATGTTCGTGGTGGAACGGTACCTCATGTTATTTTCTTGCGATCAAGGTGGGCTTTTAGGTGAGAGCATCCTACAAACTGTTAAGTTGGTGTTCGTAGCGGTCAGCAGTAACAGTTTCGTTCGGGCTCAGCTGCTCATAGTTCAGAACACCCTTTTGAATCGACCACCAAATGCACGCACAGCATTACTTTTTGGCAATAAACATTCCGCTTTCGCTGCAAGCTCTCGAGTGAAAAGAAGCTATCTCAGCAGGTTCGTCCAGATGAAGCTTGTCCTCCGTAGAAGCATCCGGAGGGCTTCAATTCCAGATTTCTTGAAATCAAACAGCAGGGGAAGGACAGCCCGGGGAAACGGTTCATCACGTTCCATGTCCAATCAGTCTTAGAGCAACAAGATTTTGGGGCAGAACTGATCTATCTGCCCTTAAGTAAGTAGCCAATACCCTACCTCACAGAACATGACAGGTTTCACCGGTAAACCTCTAACATGATTCGCGCAACGGCCCTTGGAATTCGGTGGCGGGAATTAATGCACACACCTAACAAATTCTGTAACCATGTTCAGTAGTTCACCGGTAAAGTAAAAACGAAAAGAATTGTTCCGAAACAGGAAAAAGAAACTTCAGTTCATGCAATTGTTCTCATAGCACGTGAGAGAAATTTAATCTAGGGAAATATCCAAAGATACTACCCGCTCTCCTCAAAGCGTAACTTTTAATGCTGCAGCTCCTGCCTTACCACGTCCCATTGAAGGTTCGATTGGGCCGAATTGAATATTTTCGCTCACGCCACGCTCCTTGTGGGCGGTGTGCAGCCCTACCACCTACTATACCCGTACCCGTCTTGTCTCTTGTTCTCCTACGAAACTTTGGCGCTCTAGATCCACAGGAACAGGAGTTATGAATTTCCACTCAAACGTTTATTTCGCACAAACCCTTCCCACGCCCACTGTGGGCGGAATCCGGTCTTGCTACCCACCAGAAGTGTTCCCATCCTGCCGCCTGTACTCCTAACAACGTTGAACTCCCTAGGTCCACAGGAACCGGAGTTATGAATTTCCGGTTAAACACACACACAGCCAGACAGGCGAACCAACAGACACACTTAGCCCGTTATATATAGTAGGATTATGGAGTTTGCACGCGAGTCATGCCCATTAACCCATAGAGAACCTAAATAGGCGAATGGCCTATTTTGCTTTCTTAGTTTCACTTCTCCATCTGCTTTCTTTTGCAGCAACTTCATATATCGCCACGTTGCCAGCGCAAACTTCTCACCCCACACGAGTCCCGTTTTTGGTGATACCCTTGCTATCGTTCTTCTGCCCACATCCTGATCTTTGTGAGACTATGAACGGCGCGGTTAAGTTAGTACTGTCCCCAGTATAAACAGTATAAAGCTTTCAAGAACAGCAGAGTAAATGCTTGCTGGAAAAAATTGGAAATGACAGTGTACATTACGGAATTTAGATAACACAAATATGATGAATTTATAGAAATTTATAATACACGAGTTACAAGTCTTTATTGTCTTTACCTAGTTTGTGTTAAATTCTAACATAACGCCTGAGAAAGGAATGCACAACCATCTCAGATTAAAAATCGGGAAAACTTTAACAACATCTTCTATATATGTAGATCAACAAAGTTACCTCTTTCTAAGAAAAACAAGACCTTCAATGATTTATCGCCTTTTTAAACCCTTCGACTTCATAATTGATTTTTGACTACGAATCAACGAAAGAATTAGGAACTATGGAAGGTAGGGCCTGTTTGATGTGAGAAATACTTGAAGGCACAGTTCACGATAAAAAAGGTTTCTGAGATTTCCCTATAGGATCAATTCGATGTCCCCTCGTTTACTGTATCTAGCACTATTAGGTCGAAAAACGGCATAGATAGGGAGTTATAAAGGCTCAACGATTGCACCGTGTACCCTCGGACGAATTTCACCGGCATTGTAGATGCTATGCTGCACCGATCACAAAGGAACCCACGTAAGAATTTTAAAGAACTTGTCATGACCCATAGCGACAGTAAAACGAACTTCTGCTTTGATGTAGTCAGCTCTTTGCGCTATTGCAACAACTGAAATCTCGTCCGAATACCTCTTCCAAACCGTAATCTCGTTCAAACTCTATTTTCCCTACTTTTGATGAACCATATCTTTTCGAAATCGGCGAATTCTCCCGCTTTCTTCACTACCGATGAACTATTCCCGACCTATACAGCGGCCTTTTGAATAAAATGGGTACCTCACAATTATCGTGAATCGTGTCTCTGAATTGAGACAAAAGCAACAGTTCAGTACTAGGGAGGGAAACGTTGTTAGCGTACAAATCTTAGGTCCAGTCGAACGGGACTAAAAGGATCAGTATGCGTCTACAATAAGTGTAGATTATAACCTGCAGGCCAGCTTATGTCGGGGCCGCACGGATCCGCGAGTTTTCGAAGTTTCGAGCTCTTCAATCTCATGTCTGTGTTGAGAAAACTGAGAACGAGTAAACAGAGCTGTGGGAACCTTGCCACTAACGGCTATGGGCGAAACAAAGTGAGCTTTCGCAACATGTATTGAACTGGGTGTCTTTGCAGACAAATATGTATAAACGCGTACTTATCAGTACCTCTGACCATTCATCGAGGCAATAACGTTCTCAATTCTCTGTTACTTGCGACCAATCGCTGGATCATAGTTTTGTAGCGCGTTGGAAGATCTGGATCAGACATTGCCATATTCAACATATCACTCCACTCGTCATGAATAGCCGATTGTTCAGGAGGCACCCTTGAACCCTTGCGATCCTTGCGAGTCATCTTTTCCGCTGGGGACGATGATGGATTCTCTGGTTTCTGTTCATTACGGTACATATCCTCATCCATCGATGACGGCCCTTCGAGGGGACCATCTCCTGTATCCTTCTGAAATGAATGTGTATCTCAAAAAACCAATGGATAGCCTCAAAGTGAGATGATACTTCACAAGGTTATTGCGTATTTTAATACTATCCGAATATCTTTTAAATATATACAATGATGATTTTCTATGACGGTTTGTAGTTGACTGTTATAAAGTACTGTGTGCCCAACCGCAAAACGTCCTTTGATTACAAAGTACTGTGAGTTAAGAGTTAGTGGTGCTACTCATAATCCTAAGCAAAATGAACAGTATTATTGCTGCTGAGTCCTTGTTTGCAGTGAACTTTCTGCGCCCATGAACTCCGGTCAAAAATTTGTTTAAAAAATACGAGAAATGTCATTGTTGAAAAGTTATTCTGCAGATAAATAGAGATAGGTAAGGGAAGTTTTTCACATTGTATTCATTTTTTCATTACCTAATTGATGATTTGTTTCAACACCTTACAGTGTTGCACATTTCAGGTTCACCAAAATTTTTTTCAAATTATTATACTCAGCGATTGATGGTGTTGATTCTTGGTCTATTAAGAGGAGACTGCCTCTCCCATACGAAAAAAATTTACTTTCCTGTACTGGTTTGGGAAAAAGTTACATCAATCACCGGACAGAGGCTAGAAACCGAATACAGGATAGAAGTTTCAATGTGCTTCAAAAGCCGAAGACTTGAGCTTTGAGCTACGCAATAAACACGGATTTGAGGAGTCATAGCATACAATGCCACGTTCACAACTCACAACCTCTTCATAGCCCTATCCTCCAGGGAACTCTCATTCGAGTGTATAAAATTCATATTGAAATAATTTTTTAAGATTCTGTCAAGTTCTGTTGACGCGCTAAGCCTAGAGTTAGAGGCACGACACTAAAACCAAGATTCAGTTAGCAAAAGCCCAGATCCTCCCAGAACTGTGGTTACCTCTGATAAGTTCGCCTTCGAATAAGTTGATGGCCTATTCTTTCCAAATCAACTTCTAACCAGTTGATGTACGAACATTCAGAGAAACGGAACAACTAGCAAATACTATCAAGCCGAGATAGAAGCACGTATTTACATTGTAAACAAAGTTTAACATCATTGACATTGAGCTCATAAATTAACGGCAATCCCATAAAGATCTTCTATGAAAAAAAACCTCACCCAATCTGGTTCCACTTTCATTATAGGATAGCCGAATCTGATGTATCCTTTGCTATCACTTTTTATTGTGAGCAATTCGCTAAACGTAATCGTTTTGGAAGGAACTCAACTCAGGAACTCAGCAATTCAAAACAAGTTCAAAAAATTACTGTAAAAGAATTATTACCAAACCCAGTCCAAGCAATAAGTGATGGTAAATTGTGTTATATTGGCGACCATCTCACGTTTCAAGCGAGCTAAGTGGGGATAACTGCGTTCCAATTGATCCATTGGCCCAATAGCATTAACTATTGAAGCTGAACAAGCGATTCAATGTGATATGCCTCACTGATGTTGCGAAAAGAAACTTCAAAAATTCAAAAGACCACATAGTACTCAAGAATATAAAATGAATTAACTTCAGCAAAACTAAGACACTCACGCAATTGATTCTCAGCCGGGAACGGCGGTGGACCTGTATACAGTCTGCCTTTGTGTCTTAGACGAAGTAGCTTAGCAACGAGGAAATTTTTCACAATAGGTACGAACGGCTTAAACACAGCGTTTGGCAAATTTGTGAAGGCACACCGACTCAGGAACAATCTCATGTCTATCAACTGCATGACGTGCTCCTTACCGTTCGGTGATACTCTGAAACATTTACTCAAAAACGGATAAAAAGCTTAAATAAAAAGAAAGAGTTGAGTAGTTGGGAACAAAAAAAAGTTACAAAAAAAAGAACGAAAAAGGGGAGTGGAGCAAAAACGAGTACTGGTGAAAAAAGATGGCTGAAAGGAAACATTCAACATTCTTAATGAGAATAGTAAAAAGAGGGTCAAGGAAACCTAATAACCCTATAACGCAAAACAAAATTCAAAAAACTCTTCAACCTTTACACTACTAGCAGTCATTACTTACTTTTTCGTCGGTAGGTTCTTATTCAACCAAGTCAAGAGCTTTAAATTATCGGCTACCGACTGCCTTCTCTTCAATGTTTCCATTGCATTCAGTAACTGAAAGTAAAGGCGGTATACGTACATTTTAACTCACTTGCCTCTTATTGAAAACACTTATTAAAAAAATAGAAAATTTTCTGGTGCCGTTGCGTCAATTTTTGAATACTACTTACAAGTCTACATTCAGGAAGATCGACGTATACTTCGTAGACGGAACTGCCAACGACGATGGCAGCCAACTCAGCTGCCGATCGAGTCAGTACCTAAAAAGAAAGCAACTGAGTTATTCCAGAATACTATCGTTTTGTACAAGGATTTTCACAGCGAAAGAAATACTCGCAACATACATTCACTACCACCTACCTCTGTTAAGATTAAGAAGCTTCAGCAGACTCCAATTAAAATTGTACCCATGCGCAGCCATACGACCAAAAATCTACGAACCAAAATTGATACGAGAAGTTTCCTTGCAGAACCGTATCAAAAATGCAGAAGATAGAAAATAGTCATCTAGTGTCAAGAAATCCGCTTTTGGGTACTGCTACACCACTAAACTTCGAAACAGAATAGTGGCGCCCTGAATGCGTAAACGACTTATACAAAGAGTTGCGGCGACCAGATGATGAAGAACTCAGTGGTTTTATCCCCCAGACAAGGTTGGTACCAGCTAGCAGACCCCGAGGGATGGGAGGCCTGGTTCATCTGGTTGGTTAACCAAGGCATCTATCTCTCTGATTTCGGTTCTCAAGCTTATGAAGCTCTTTTTCTCACTTTTTGATTGAGAAAACGACGTGCTATTCTTCAAAAGAATTTTTTCCCATTAAACATATTTCGCATGTCTGGCTCTAAATTCAATCCTTCACAAATACTGCACAGTAAGGATGGCGAACAGAGCCTTTTCAGCGCTATCACTTGCAAAATCTAATCCTAAGCGTTATACTCATTCTGTTCTATCTCTTCTGTGATTGGGGGAAAGCGCGGCATTCTGATCACACCAGAACCAGAATTTTGAACTACTGCTTATGTATCACATAACCGCAAATCACAGATAAGTCACAAAACTTCTTGAGGTTTCGCACACTCCGAGCTCCACACATATTTCCATCTGATGCCTCTCAATTTTTTTCCAACCACTAAAGAGAATGTTACGCTTGAATTTAGGTTACTTCAGGTTGATGAGTACGGTGAGAAAACTTGCATACTCCTTACTTAGTAAAACGCCGACCGAACGCCAACAAATTTCGTTGTGATTTCATTTACATAATTCTCAGGAATACTGATGGTTTTCTCCAAAATTCTGATCTAATGTCAATTTTTTTCTCTCCAAACACTTATAGGAGCAGTTCCAGCTTAGGAGGAAGTTCTGATCATAGATGCCACCTAGCACCTTTTTGCTCAGATTTGTAATAATATTTTCATGGAGTGCACCAGAGTCTCTAGGAGGAAAAACTAAGCTACTACCATGGCTCAAGCTTATAAATGAAGTTCAGCAAGTGTACTCCTGCTTAATTCTGAACCTCCAACAAACTCTAACACAACTAATTTCGGAGGAAAACAGTTGTACAAACGTACCACATTTAACAAGGAATCCTCTTTTCTTTTCGAAAACTCCCGTAATGCGTCGAAAGTCGGTCCAAAGAATTTACTTTGAATGTCCTCTGACATTTCTGAATCATATAAGTAGATAAGTAAATATAGTAAAGACTGCAAATAACGAAGCCAGTGACGATGAACACGAAAAAATGGAAGCTAGCGGAACAAAAAAGGGGAACATAGTTAAATCTCGCCACCGGCTGCCGTCAGAATTATTTTCCCACGCGCGAATATTTGAATGTCTCATGGACTGCCACTGGAGCACATCACGCCTCTCCGGATGTACGAATG